CCCCCCCTATTACTTGATTTACATTTAGCACTTACTTTTGTTCACCATGAGTTAAGAAGTCTAACAGATGTTTTGTCAGCTCAGCCAGTCCTTACCTATGCTGCCTCCGGTGCGCGGGGGGCTGTTATGCTCCCGGTCCCCGTCGTCCTGGCTTGGTACCACGATCACTACGTCCCCCTTGACGCTACCACCGCGGTCCATCGAGGGTATTGAACTGGGGCAGCAGAAGATCATTATGGTGAGTTGTCAGGAAAACTTTCAGTTGATTAGGACATTAGCTATGAGAAGTTGTCTTGGTATCTGAAGTATATTCTTAGTTCCAGAAGTGATGTGCCCTTTGCGGCACACCCCTTTCATTAAAACATAAGTTAAAAAAAATCTAATTACAAAGAAATTTTGCGTTGTATTTCAAACGCTTTCAGTTTCTTTGTAATAAAAAGAAATGCTTCGTTGACTTTTGACGGTAAACGTATTACGTATAACCTATTATGCGCTTTTTAATGCGCACTGGTGCTACTGGTCTTTGTCTTGACCCAGCATGGCACGCTGCAAGCGCCGGTAGCATAGGCAACCCATCGGGCTCCTGCGCAGCTACAGAGCCTGCCTGCTTGAAGCTGGCTGTTTCTCTAGCAGATCACCGGGGACGGGCGTCACAGTTACAAACAATAAGGCTCGCTAGCCCGCCCTTCCCCAAAACGGAGTTGCCAGCTTCACCTCGCTCCGTCGGCAACTCTCGTTGGGGTGGGGGTTCGGGCCTGCTATCTTGGCCCGTCCCTGGTGCCGTTTGGGTGTGGTACGAGAAGTGCATAACTCCGAAAAACCGTGTACAGGGATTGCAATCCCTACAGATTCGTAGGGATATTCGAAAGATTTAAAAAAAAAAAAAAAAAAAAAGATTCTGAAGGATTGTGAAGATTGGAAAAGATTTGTAGGGATTGGAGGAGATTGGCGAGTATTGGCGTAAGATTGGAGAGGATTGGCGAGGATTTGAGGAGGATTTGAATGTATTGGAGCCCAATCTTCGCACGATAAAATTGATTGGGTTTGGTATGGTCGGCATGATTCGTTAGGTTTGGGAAGATTGTTGAGGATTTAAGAGAATCAGGGCGAGATTTGGGAAGGTCGCCGGAAGGATTTTAGGAAAATTAATGACCTTTTGATGAATTTTTGTAATTAGAGGGATTTGAAAGATTGGGGGTGGTGGTGGTTGGTGGTGGGGGAATTTGAAAGATTGGAAGGGACTGGAGACGAATTTCTAGTAAGCGTACAGGGATTTCCGAATTGATGCACCCCTCGGTGTGTACCGTGAGTACAACCCCACCTGTAGGTGTACTTGTCGCCCCCCCCCCTCCCCCATACTTACTGCAGCGTGACCTTCTTCTTTCGGAGGCTGAGGTCGGAGGACTCCCTGACGAGCGCCCTGGCCGGCGTGCTGCCCCTAGCCAGCCCCGAGGTGAGCCCGCCCAGCGGCGCGTAGCTGTACTGGCCGTTGGCGGCCTGGCTGTGTGAGGCCTGGCTGTGCAGGGCGCGCGCCGAGGGCGGCGAGTCTCCGAACAGCTTGTCTGCGTTGGGCTCGAGGCCCTGGCTTAGGCCCTGGTGGTGGCGCGCCCGGATGTGGTTGGCGGCGTGGTGGTGGTGCGCGTGCAGCGCGGGCGGGGTGGACGGCAGCGAGGCTATGGACGGCGTGTCCCCGGAGGACGGCGGCGGCGGCTCCGGCAGCGCCTGCAGCCGCTTCCTGTCCTCCGTGTACATCTCAATGAGCTCGGTGAGCTTCGTCTCAATGTCGTCCACCTGCGGCAACCAGCGCCAAGATCAGCGCAAGGGTCATCGAGAGAACAACGAGTTTACGTACATACTCTCATTTCCTCAGGGATGTGCTATCCGTATGCTATGGAGAATTTTGTACAAACTTAATACGGGTCAAAAATCATCTGTAATACGGACGAAATTGTCCATATTATGGATTCTGATCCACATTACAAACACACCTTCATCGTTAAGGTATGGAAGAAAGGTATCTTATACCTTACGGATGAAGGCATGTTAATATAACATGGATAGAATTATCTATAAAAAACGTTGTCAGTACATTTGTAAAGAGAGTAAACAAGTAATCGTGTATTACATTTGGTAAAGTTGCATTACTTTAATTGTCTGTTATAATTTTTGTTAAAGTTTACTTCAGCGTGTCAATGAACTCACTGGAGAAAAGAACGAAGTGAGTGGCTCTCTGCGAATTCAGCGAACATATGTTACCCAAAGTCATCTTTTTGCCCAAATTAGGGCATTATGCTTAAGCACAATAGTACTGGTTTCACTTCCCCATGTAAAGCCGTTTACAAGATATGCTACAGTTTACGACAGTTTAGAACTCAATCACATTTTGCCTACCTTTATAGGGGCAAAAACCAGTTTCTTCATTTGTCACGGTATGAGTGTATGTGCCTGTATACATTCTTATGTAAAGCAAGGTGACATTTAATCACATGTACGAGCGTTAGATTCATTCCTATGCTCTGACACACGTCGGTTTATACACGGCACGTGTGTTGTATACATTGTATTAGATTTTATCAAAACGTGTACGTATACATAGGTTTGCATACGGTTTTTACCAAAACCAAATATTCAGGTTTTACCAAATATGATACGCATTTATAAAACACCCTACATATCGTTATACAGCGGTGTACACAATTATATTCAATTCTTTACAAATCAAAATATTGTAATACAATTTCTTATTTAGTTGTATACAAACCGTTTCTCCTGGGTATTATAGACAATTTCATCCGTATTACAAGGAAAAAAAAGAATTAGTTGTCACAACTAATAAATAAGTTAATTTTGGGATAGACAAGAAATTCGCTGTGGCAGCTAATAGTTTGTTGCCACAGACAAGAGTTAGTTGCCACAGCAAAGCTGTCGCTGCAAGAGCCAATCGGTTCGTTCTGACAGCGAAACACCCAATTAGTAGTCAGAACGAACCGATTGGCTCCTGCAGCGACAGCTTCGCTGTGGCAACTAACTCTTGTCTGCAGCAACCAACTATTAGCTGCCACAGCAAATTTGGTATTAGCTATCCCAAAATCAGCTAATTTGTTAGTTTTGAGGACTAATTCTTTTTTTCCGTGTACGGAAGATTTGTAATCCATACAACGTTTAACGTTTGCACACATCTCTCCGTAAGCGGGTCCGTAAGGAAATGAGAGTGTAAATGAGAGTTGCTATAAGGTGCCCCCACAGCGAAAAGTTCCTCAAAATGTTGACGTGAGGGAGCCACAACAGTACCAGTGCTCCCTGCAGTGCTTTGCGTAACTTGAATTTGACAACGTTTATTGTGGAGGGCACCTTTACGGATGCGTAAGAAAATGCATTGCGCCAATCGACTGCGACATTAAATTAATTTTACCTACCTGTCTTTCTACTTTAACCACTCTTGAAGCTAAACTAATTTTTGAAGCATACACATCTTTCGCTTTGGAACCCTGTCTCCCAAGAATTTGGTCTAGTCTGGAATCAGAAAAGGCTCTCATTATGCTCCTACACGTCCCATGTCACCAGGTACTCAATTTAAGGCAAGCTCTACTACAATGATGTAATGATATGCAGCACTCGGTTCTCATGAATCAAAACTGATGCCACTTGCTGATTAGGTAGTGCTGGGAATCAATTCATTCGATACTCTCTAACTGGGACGTAAATGAAAGGCACGGTTCGTTACACTTGTTTTAAAAGCGCAAAGTTATCTAGCAAGCGAAGGTGCGTGAGAATGTTTTGGAAGACCACAACCTTTAAACAGAAAACTTAAGTAGAAGAATTTCTGATCATGCTCATAAACACTTTGTGCAAGGAAACTACGCGTTTTAGTGCGACTTCTACAGCCAGTAAGAGTACAATTTCCTTGAAGAAAATAATTGTCAACAGAACACTGTCAAGTTTTTCCTGCGGCAACCACAAGCAGAAAATAGAATAGTCACAGACAATATTTAAATAATCAAACCTCGAGATGAAAAAAAAATAGTCTCACACTCTTTCAAAACAATGTCTTGAAATGAAATATGGGTCTTACTAGGTAGCGCAAACAAAAACACAAGCCCCTTAATATGATTTACCTGTAGTGAATGTGTTTGGTCCTATTGAGCAGGTCCGCGTGCCCCGACGAGTACTGTTCAATAACGTCTTTAACGTCGTAAGGCTTGAGCGCTTCCTTAAACTGCCTCCGAGCCACAAAGTATTTCATCTAGAAGGAGGAAGGCACTCGTGAGAAGAATTAAGGTAAAGCGCTTCGCATGGTGTGCACGGTGTGCCAACATACACCAGGCTGGGTCTGGGTAGTACCAGTTCGCTATGAAACATTTCTGAAGCTAAAGAAAGACGCTTTTAGCGCGGATCATCCCCCCAAAGTCATTGAACGTTGAATTTCGTATAGTCTGGGCGCGATGAATCTCTCCCTGATCTAACCACCCTAGCAGCACGCCGCCCCTCAGG